ACAAAAGAGTACCATAAAAGTGAAAAGAGTAGTCAGGGCAGGGACTCTTGCACTAAGTGGTCTTATAACTCTGGTCTAATTACACTATGTAGATATTAAACCTGGTTCCTCTTAAGATGAATGATTTGAATGTCTAACAGACACACCAAACTTAACATGTCCAAACTGGTCATTCTCATCTCTCACATCTGCTCAATCAGCAGCCTTTCCCATCTGAGTTGATGGCATCTCCATTTTTCCATCTGGTTCCTCATCAAAAAATCTTGGGAGAGCCGCCATCTTGTGGGAGCGAAACCAATGCCTGAATCCGAGCAGCAGCAGCCCCGCGGCCGCCGAGGGTTTCTCTGGCCATTGTTGCTCTCACCAGTCTACAGCATGGGGAATATCTTTGCGAACCTCTTCAAGGGCCTTTTTGGCAAGAAAGAAATGCGCATTCTTATGGTGGGCCTAGATGCTGTGGGAAAGACCACCATCCTGTACAAGCTGAAGCTGGGTGAAATTATGACCAACATTCCCACAATAGGCTTCAACGTGGAGACCGTGGAATACAAGAACATCAGCTTCACCGTGTGGGACATGGGCAGGCAGGACAAGATCCAGCCTCTGTGGCGCCACTACTTCCAGAACACACAAGGTCTCATCTTTGTGGTTGACAGCAATGACAGAGAGCATGTGAACGAGGCCCATGAGGAGCTCATGAGGATGCTGGCAGAAGATGAGCTCAGGGATGCAGTTCTGCTCGTTTCTGCTAACAAACAGGACCTCCCCAATGCCATGAACCCAGCCGAGATCATGGACAAGCTGGGCCTACACTCTCTGTGCCACAGGAACTGGTACATTCAGGCCACCTGTGCCACCAGCAGGGATGGGCTCTATGAGGGACTGGACTGGCTGTCCAAGCAGCTCCGGAACCAGAAGTGAGCTGTGCTCCTCTCTCCTCCCCTCTCACTCCCTCCTTCTACCCTTGGCTTTACTATCATGTGGCAAACGTGCCCCTGTGGTGTGAGTGCCAGAAGCTGTCTCCATGGTTGCTCACAGTGTGCTTCACCATGCTGTAAATGTGCAGACGCAGCCTGCAACTGGGTTTTTATTTAATGTAAATAGTTTTTGTTTCCAACGCGGCAGTTTCTGGTGCTCCCATGCAATATTACTCAGCTTTTTTTATTGTAAAGAAAATCAACCCACTGTTTAGTACTGAGAAGGGATTTTAGACACACGGGTCATCCAGGAGTCGCTGTTTCAGACGAGCCCGATGCTCCTCCTCTGGGCTTTAGATCTGTGTTGAGGTCCATTTTGGTGGTCGGTTTTTAACCCAAACTCAGTGCATTTTTTAAAACAGTTACAAATATAAGATAAGGAGAACACTTGAACACACAGAAGGGATAAATGTGCCTAGTGTAGGTTCTGCAGTAATGGCCTGAGCCCAGTCCACCAGTGGTCTGTTTCCCGTTGGGAACATGAAATGGAGCAGAACCAGCCACGATCCATTTCGCATGGTCACAATAGGGTCCCTGTGATTCGCTCTGTCTCAGGTCACCCCACACCCCATAGTGTTTGTGCTTGTGTTTGTGCTTACACAGCGGCCCAGGAGATGGGCTGGAGGCTGCAGCCCCCACTCTCAGACCCCCTGGAGAGACCCCGGCCTTCTCCTGGGTCAGCACTTGGGTCAGAACGCTCTCGCTGGCCTGCCCCGGGCCCTCTGGGGTCTCACCAGCAGGAGCGCAGGTGGTCACCCTAGAGCCCCAGCCCCTCGGAGACCCTGTCTACACGTGCTTTCACTCCCTCAGCCTGCAAGGGTCAGATTTGCCATTAAATGAGAACCTCTACTTTTTTCTTTTGTATTTTGATAAACACTGAAGAAGCTGGAGCTGTTAAACTTTATCTTGGGGAAAACCTCAGAACTGGTTTATTTGGTCTCGTGGAACCTCTTACTGCTTTCAATACACGATTAGTAATAAAAAAAAAAATCTTGGGAGTCACCCACCATTCCTCTTTTTCTTCTCTACCACACACTAAAAAAGAATCAGGAAATCATGTTGACTCTTCCTTCAAAACATATCCAAGATTCAGCTGCTCACCACTTCCAGTATTATCAACCTAGCCTGAGTCACCATTATCTCTCACTTGGATTACTACACTACCCCTCTATTAGTCTCTTTGTTTCAACCTTTGCTTCTTTCATATACTCTGCTGAACAAAAAAGAGAAGGTAATCCTTTTAAAATTAAAATGAAGTAGTATCACACTTGTCTATTTGAAACCTTCCAATAGCTTCCCAATTCACTTAGAGTAAGAGCCCATGTCCTCACAAAGTCCCAAACCATCTTCTCCTACTTACCTCTGAATTAATCTACTACTGTATTACGCCCCTCAGTCCAGCCACACTGGCCTCCTTACTACTCCTCATGCACAACAGGCAGGCTCTGCTGCCAGACAATGACAAGGCTAGCTAACTCTCTTCAAGTTTTAGTTCAAATGTCATCTTCTCAAAAGATCAAGCATGTTTTAAAAATTGTAACCTGTCTCCTTTCCCATACCAATTACCAGTTTCTAATATCCCATATTAGTTGATCTATTTATTTATTATGTTTTAGCATCTGTCTCTCTTGAGTAGGAGACAGGGATTGTTTTGTTTTGTTCGCTAGTATATCTCAAGTTCCCAGAAAAGTGTCCTGGGACGTAACAGATACTCAACAGTACCAATTTGTTGAATGAGAAGAACTGTCTCCTCTTTTGACTTCTTATAAAGTATTAACTATCCTAAAAATGGGTATACAAATTTATTTCCAGAATGAACCGAGTGACAACAACCTGAGAGACAATGGAATTATATAAACAAATGATGACCGGCCAAAAAAGAGGAATTGCACAGACAAGTAAACTGACTGCATTCTGTGGCAAGACAACTTGCAAAAAAGCAAACGCAGAAGTTTCACAGATCAAATAATAATCCATTTACTAAACAATGAAGTCATATTGAATAATAAATGGTTTAAATAAAACCATAAAATACAACTTGAAAAACAATTCATTTAACTGGCCATAAGTGCTTCATGAAGGAGTGTCCTGAATGCCAAAGAATGGCCTCTGAAATTTTCTAATGACAAACATAAAATAAAATTACCTATAAATAAGGCTGAGGGCTCCGCACCTGTGCACTCAGTCCTTATCCACCCATACTTAAGGGAGAACTCCGACTCATCATTAGGTTTAACTGAGATTCTGATTTGACTGACAACATGATCATTCTATGATCACTTCTAAACTTGACTCATTGTTGAGATTCTAAAGTTTAGGCTTCAAAAATAAACTCCTAAAATTCAAATTGGCTCAAACCATACCCAACCACATTTTAACCAGTGAACACCATCATCCTTTATTGTTTGCTTTAATGTGAATAGTACCTCCATCAAACCCCAACCCTCCAATCTCCAAACTCATTTGATTCTAAAAATTAGATCTCTGCAAACTTTAACATTGTTTATCATTCAACACACTACTGAAAGCTAGTTTTCAATTTCTTAGTTTCAAACATTAAAATAATATCTCTTGGAGCAAAACCAACCAACTGTAACATTTAAAATAGTATGTGTACAATTTGTACCAAAGGAGAATATAACCATTCTTTTGTGAAGATGCCTAAAAGCATATTCTTCTGTCAAGCTAAGGTAAAAGCCCTCTTTTCACCAAATAAAACTGGTATCTTGTTATTATGAAACTTTGTTCTGGGTAATTTGGTTCAAGAGGTCCCCCTGAGGCTTCTTGACAATAAGGTTTATTCCTATTTTCTATTTTTACCTCAATGCTTTTTCTCTACATGAAATTACACGTATTAGAAAAAGCCTGGTGTGGAGGATTAAGAACACTCACTCAGAAATCATAATGTACAAAGGCAGATGCTCTGATAACTCTGAATCAATGACCTCACAGTCCCTGTTCTATAACTTCACTAGTATATAATGGCTTGACTTTTCATTAGGAAATGGTAAGATCCGCTGTCCTGACATTTTCCCTACAGGTCTGTTTTTGCAATAAGCATGGCTATTTATAACATTCATTTCTATAAAAGCAACACAAATTTAAAATTTTCATCATTCATAAAGAAAATTCATTCAGGGCACAAGTTTGCATTACCATGACTACAGCTCCAATTCCTAGCACAAATATTTAGGCGCTTAATAACTATGCTTAGCTGATGAGTGGTGCTTACAAACAAAACCCAACTGGCAGGGTATTCAGCACTTGGTAAAGACCTCTGCTGAAATTAAATAGTAAAAATGCAATATAATTTGTGGATTTATTATAAACGTAATGATTATAGTAAAAAAACAAATTTTATTAATAATTAAATATCTCATCAATAAAAAAACTCAATCATGCCAGTAACTGTAAAAAAAAAAAAAACTTGGAAAGTAACACTCATTTAAAGAATTAATATCTCAAGGAGTCAACAGCTAATTCTCACGAAACCCAGCTTAAAAATTCCTTAATGCTACCAAAATACAACAATGCTAAATAATTTTCAGTAAAACGTATCTGTTTGGTAGTTATCAGTCCTGTTTATTGCCCTAGGTCTCTCCTTAGCAAAAAAAAAAAAAAAAGTTACAGAGATTCAGTTAAAGCCTTTTTGTTTTGAAGTAGTTGAGGTTAGTGGCAAATCAGGGCTACCCCACTGAAGTACTATTCACATTAAAGGACAATCCCAAAGTGGATTGTTTACTTTGTTAACAATTTGGGAGAGACAGTCTAAACTGAAAACAGCATGCCTCTCCTCATGATCTTCATTCATAATTTATTTTTCAAATGTAAAGCTACATGTATTAATTTCTCATTCTATTAAAATAACCTATTAAACTATAACAATGTTTTCATTCACACTGATTATACTGAATATACGGGGCATTGATTAGCTGTCCAAATGTTTGAACAAGGCAGAAAGGATGGTTTAGGGAAGAAATTACAACAGAAGAAATGTCAGTAATCTTAGGAGAAAACCCTTACCTTATCATATTGGCATACAACAACATTTTCTGTATCAAAGAGTTCCTGTCCTTCCTCATCACTCACGTCATCTTCGCTATTGAGGGGCTCCTACAAATAAAAAAGAAGAGTTTACCTATTTACACTTCACATGTAACTAGAATAAAGCTCTTCTAATATTCAATGAAAAGAAACACAATGACCTTGATGTTCTTTGAGAACCAAGGGCCAGACAGATGCATATACATACCATGAATGTATTTTTAAAACTTAGTGAAATTACAGCAAGAAATTAAATGTAATTAACAATTAAAATAGTTAAGCTATATAACTTATAAATCTGAAAAAAATGTTTATTTCCTTTATTCTTTCACAACAGCACTAGGATAATTCTCTCCAATAACTGCTTAAGATGCCTAGAAGTGGACCTAAGAAAATATGATGGCACTATGTACTACCGTATGGTACCATTAGATGGTACTAGGCACCAGAAGCAACAGTATAAAAGGGAAAACAATGGTGAAAATGGAGGAGGAAAAGAGGGCTATAAAATAGATAAGCAGTATGGCTTGTCTTTACGTTAAGGACTAGAACTATATGAATACAAATTAGCACGTCTCCCACTATGATAGTGGAGGCTTACAGCATAATTAACTAAGACATTAAGATTAAGGTGGGGGGGGGTGGAATCTCAAACTCAGTACCAAAGAGAATTAAAGGCCAAGATCTAACTAGAGCATAAAATGACCAACGACATTAAACTTGACCTCAGTTGTGGCAGAAAATAAAACAAATTTCTAATTAATGGAGAATGAGAAGATATGACAAAATAATAAAAGTGGAGAAAGTAATCAAGATGATATTAAGTCAAGGCCTATACCGACTCACACACATGGATGTATATATATTGTTTAATTTAAAATAGATATCACCAATGTAAATGCAATAAAATTTTTGAGGTAAAATTTACAAAACAGAAACTCACCATTTTAACCATTTTGAAGTGTACAATTCAGTCACACTTAGTATATTCATATGTGTACAACCATCACCACTTCCTAACCTTGACCAATAAGCAGACACTCACCATTCCCACCTCCCCCCAACCCCTAGCAACCACTAACCTGCTTTCTGGCTTTATAGACTTAACTATCCTGGGTATTTCATATAAACAGAGTCATACAATATAAAGACAACACATGTCTGGCTTCTTTAACTTAGCAATCTATTTGAGGTTCATCTATCTACATTGTAGCATATACCAGTACGTTGTTCTTTTTCATAACTAAATAATATTCCCCTGTCTGGATACACCACATTTTATTCATCTACCTATCATTTGATGGACGTTTGGGTTACTTACATCTTTTGGATTTTGTGACTAGTGCTGTTATGAACATTCATGTACAACCTTTTGTACATGAGATAAAGCAGGATGCTGTGTAACCATAAATGGTTCGACTCACTTTTTGTGAAATTTTAAGCTTGTGTACCCATTTTTAGGATCAAAATATAAAAAGCAAAAATTAAAGAAAAACAAGAGAAATCAATCCACCATCATCTTGGGAGATTTAAATATACCTCACTTAGTAATCAATGACAAAGCAAGCACACAAAAAGTATCAGTAAGGATACAGAATATCCCAAGCAAACGAGTGACAATCTAAATCTAACAGACATATATAAAAGACAGGACCAGTCAACTGCAGAAACATTCTTTTCAAATACACAGGAAGCATATGCAAAAACTGACCATATAAAGCAAGTCTCAATCAATTTCAAAGGATGCACACATCACACAGATCATATTCTCTACAAATAAAACAGAACAGAAAGTAATCAAATAGGAAAAACCACACTAGAGAGAATAAACAAATTTGATTCCTTGAGAACACTATACTCAATACAACTCTGGTAAGAGTGAGCAAGGAAAAACAACAAGAAAGTGCAAACGATAGTATTAGGAAAAAGAAAATAAAAAAGAAATTACTACAAATGATTCTGACATTAAAGATACTGTTATCTTTAACTTTATGCTAATCAATTAATAAATTTGGTTAAATATATAGTCCTAGAAAGATGTACCTTACCCACTGACTATCTGAGTAAGAACATTATTAGCAGATATTTTTAGCAGCAAATTTTAATGAATATTCACAGGAGACTTAAGCATAGTATTTGGGGAAAAAAAGAAGTCCAAGGTAGAGGGAACACTCTCCAAAATTCATATTACAAGGCTACCATAAATCTTAAAACCTAGTAAGAAGAGTGTGAGAACAGAAAATCACAAACAGTATCATTTATGAATATACATGCAAAAGTCCTAAACAAAGGGAATTCAGTAATTCATAAAAAGGGTAAACACTAATGATTAAGGTATGCTATCCCAGGAACACAAAATTTGTTTATAAACAGAAAACCAATTAATGCAATTCATCATAAATAAAAAATTAAGGAAATCATGATTATCTAATAGTTGCAGGAAAAGTGTTTTATAAAATTTAGCATTCATTTATAGTTTAAAAAAAGCAAAGCTCTTAGTTAATTTGAATAGAAGGGAATTTCCTTAACCTGAAAAAAAGTATCCATAAAAAGCCTACAAGTAAATATTATACTGAACAGTCAACTACAGAAAGGATTCCTTTTAAGATTAAGAACAAGATAAAAGTGCCTGCTATCACCATTTCTAGCAAATAATGTTTTGGAGGACTTAAGCCAACAATTTTAGAAACACTGCCATTTTTCATGTCTGATTTGACAGCCAACAGAGAAAACATGAAAGAATCAAAGAGGCTAAACCTCACTAGTAATCAAAGAAATGCAAATTTAAAAAACCCAACTTACAGAAAAAAATATACTTATTCAATTTATGTTATACATGTGCATGCAAAACTATATATGCTCTTTAGGAACATCAATAGATATGGTGAAATATAAAGGCAAGTTAATGACAAGCATAAAATTCATAAGCATGGTTACTGATGGCAGAAGGAAGAGGACAGGGATTAGAGAGGCACCCAGAGGAATTTAATTAAGCAATGGGATTTTTTAACTAGATGTGGACATCAGGGTGTTTATATTTTAAAATATTTTTATTCATTTGTATCTAGTCAATATTTAATTGAAAATAGTATTTTTAAAAACATTACTTAGATAATTCACTTTGTACTAAGATAAATAAAATTACATCTTAAGGCTGTAGAAGGCAATTAACAATAAAAACTGTGATCATCTTGAGCACATGTAACTAAGTTGGAACACTGAGGAAAACAAAAGTATATCTGTATGTTTCTAAAATATAACTGAAGATGAGTAAGAATGGATGGTTTGCTAAACTGAAGATAGATACTATGAGTAGATAAGGATATCTAGGCATAGTATGGAATACGGAACAAAAGTAAATTTCAAATAAAACTGTCACAACTTTTTTCTTGTCTCCTCTCTTTCCAAATGTCACCTTACCTTTTTAATTATTGATGCAAAAGAGTAACCACATTGATCTGTTCTACCAATGTCTTACATCTAAGCCAATGCATAAACCAAATTAGAATTACTTATACTGTTTCCATCACCTTTATAAACCCAGCTTAATTTGGTATACATTCATTTTTTATTACCAGCTATCTAAAATAATATTTTATGAAAATAAAAACAACCAAATCAATCTAAAAATCTTATCAGAAATCCAACTTTACATTTAAAACTCTGTTGTATGGTACCCTAACAGCCTCTGAAAAATTAGGATATGAATTCATCAGTTTGGCACCAAGTCAAAGAAGAAATGACTGAGTAGCTTCTCATTTCACGTCTTCAACTAGAAACTTACCTCTTCTACCTGCCCATCTTCAGCTCCATCTTTCTCTTTGTCTTCTTCCTCATCATCATCATAGTCTTCTTCTTCATCTTCATCTTCTTCTGATGATGTATCCCCAGTTCCATCAACTTGCAACACCAACGGAGCCTGCTGTTGAGCAGGCTGGGCCTGTGGCTGCTGCTGGCCAGCTGCAGTTATCTGCGCTTGTGCTGGTGTGGGAGCTGCCACTGTTGTAGGTATTACTTGAGTCTTATTTCCTGCAAATAAGATTTGCTGGGGCTGGATGATGACGCCTGTCTGTGGTGAAATTCCTCCAGGAAGAGGGGCCAGTACCTAAGGCAAAAGAAAAATCACATGTTAGAAACTAGTTAGAGGATCAAGTAGTTTCGTTACTCGGTGCACAGAAATAGGGACAAAAGTTGAAGAGTCACCAAAAATGACCTTATACATAGTTAAAACTACCAAAGCACAAAAGGAGTGTTTATTGAGTGTGCTGATCCACTAAATTTTCATTTTACATTAAAATCTCTAAAGGAAAAAAGATTTTCTGATAATAACTGCTTCATTTATCAAGGACTCGTTATATATCAAGTACGATGCCAGATTCCAGACCAATAGTTACACACATTATTAGTTTATTTGCTCAAGGTATGGAGGTTTAGTAACTTGCAAAGTTTGCAGTCAAGTCACTAAGAGCCAAAATTTGAACCTAGGCTTTCTGGTTCTGCTCTTATTACTATGCTGCACTGCCTCTCTACAAAGAACATGGCACTAAAAATCTGAAGTCCTGGGTTTTAGTTTTGTCTAAGATCACAGATAAAGATATAGCAGATACAAGTGGTATAACCTCTCATGACTTTAGCAAAACTTCACTGTTAGACTAGAATCAATGGTGTTCAAGTCTGGCTACAAATTATAATTATCCAATAGTTTAAAATACCAATACCTAAATCCCACTCCTAATATTCTGATTTAATTAGCGTAAGACAAACTCTATTTTATTTAAAGCTCCCCAGATGATTCTAACCACGCAATCACAGCTGAGAACCACCAGATCAGATGATTTCTAAAGTTCCTTCTAGCTTCTGCATTCTAAGATCTTAAAGTAAATCACAACTCAAAAAAAAAATTAACAAATAGTAATTATATGTTATAATGAACATATTTATAATCATAGGTACTAATAAATAAAAAGCAGATAATGCCTAGTGATAAATAAAAAGCACTGAACCGCCATTACTTGCCATTAGGATCAAGGAATGTATAAATAATAACAGTATTTCCTTTAAGTTTACAAATTAATGGTGTAATAGACAAAGCTGTAACAACTCAAAGAGATAGAAGATGTAACAGAGGTATGATAAAGCACTATGAGAACACAGGAGAGGGTACTAAATTCAACTTGGGGGACAAAGCATGATCAGAAGACTTCCAAGTAGGTAATACTTCAGCTTCTATTTGTATTTTGGAGATCAGCCAGGCTTTTGCGCTTTGTTTTGTTTGGGGAGTAGAGGAAGTTGCTAGAAGGAAGGCCAAAGGAGACATTCTAAACAGCATCAAGTGAAAACAGCATCAAGTGAGATTCAGAAGAACCAGCAGGACAAAATTTGGAAAGCTATAGTAGGCTGGATTAATGCTCCTCACCTGATCTTACCTCTGTCACTGTACTGCACTGACATTATGTTGTTTATATGTTTGTTTCTTTTTTAAAGTACCCAAGTTCCTCAAGAAAATAACTGTTTCTCTTTCACCTTTGTCCTTAGAGTACAATTTAATGCTTGGCACACAAGTAGGTACAGTATTTGCTAACTGATCTAAACAGCAGCTGAAGCAGGTAACAACGGGAACATGGCAGGAAGTAAACCTGAAGACATCAAAAAAGGTCCAAAATAAAAAAAGATCTTATAACCCATGATGAGAAGTTTAGACTGTTTCCAATAGGCAATAAAAGATTTTAATATTTTTAAAACAATGACTATAGAGTGGCAGTCAGCTTAGGAGAGTACAAGACTGGAGGCAGGGAAATTAAGAGGATAATTATTTTGAGTGAGAAATTATGAGAGTGTGAACTAAGGAAACAAGAGAGTCTGGAAAAAGAAAACTAGCTTCAAACATATTAAGGGACTGCAAACATGTTAAAACTGCGCCTGAAAAAAACGAACTATTAGGAAGAATTGGTAGGACTTCATGATACCCTGGAGTAAGGAAAAGGGTGGTTCCACACACCTCTTTTCCAGAAAATACATAAGCATCATGGAACTAAATTCATGCCTGCCTTTTTCACTCTGAAATCTCCAGACTCTGGCAAAGACCCTAATATGTAGCCACACAATAAAACGTTTGCTGAATGAATGCTAAATAACTAGTTTAGGAAACTGGATGGAGAATGGTGCCACTTTTAGAAAAAGGGGATGATGTTGGATGAGTAGGAATAACAATTTGTTCTTAAACGCACTGAATGTACATTAAGCTATGAGGTGTACAGGAGTAATTTAGAACAGGTGTGTAGTATTGGATAAGTGTCTAAGAATTTATACAGATAAGCCATGGGAAAAGGGAACGGAAGCACCCAGATAATTCATACGGAAGAAGAAAGAAGAACCCCATGGTGGTCAGAGTTTAAGATCCTTTTACCTGTTGTATGACAGGAGCTTGTACTCCACCAGGCTGCATCTGTGGTATAACCTGTTGTTGCAGAACCACTGACTGCTGAGGCTGGAATATATACTGGGCACCATTGGCTGCTCTGACTACTTGAAGCAGCTGGCCTAAAGCAAAAAGCAAAAAGATATTCCAAGTTATCATTTTAGCAGTGATCATCTCAAAATAAATAAATTCATAGTAAAATGTCAAACCACCAAAAAACCCTAGAAATCTTAGAAGACTAACAATCTCATTAAGGTTTGTCATCCATACACAGTAAACTGTAATTCTTAACTTCTCTAACTTCCCTCCATGTTCGAATACATTACTTAAAATGTTTTATTTATCTTATTTATCATCCTTATAAAGCTGTTTTCCAATAGTTTCAGCAGATTCTGAGAATCAATCAAAAGCTTAAATTATCTTTGGTAACATGTCTGGAGTCATGAGAAAGCACTAAGATGAAATATTTCAGGGGCTATTGGTTTTTAAAGCTGTAAAGAAACAGAAGTATAATAATGCATTAATATCTTGAACAAAAGTACAATAGCTTCAAAACTGCTTAAAAACAATAGAAGTTTGCTGAATCAATTATCATTGTGACATAACACTAACTATAATGACTGGCTTATACACACACAACTGAATTCCTTTCATGTTGTTTTGGATGACCCAGAATCCTGAATTAATTAGAAGTGAAGAATTATATCTTATTGAAATATGTAGCAAGGTAAGTCCCTAGCTTGTTCTTCACAAATTTAGAAATTAACAAAGTAACAAAAAATTATATACTTAAATTTACATTAAGGATATTTTAAATCCACATAAAAAATTCTTCAAACATTAATATGCCAAAAATCAAAAGTAAATTTTTGCCAGTCATTTGCTCTTAAGATACTACAGTATTTAGTTTGATATAACGAGTTAGTTCAAATGAGTCATGTTTAACTTATTTGGTGGGTTAACATGTTAAGCAAAAACCTAAGTAAATAAGCTCTTCTATATAATCATACTTCATTCAATAATAGGATTCTCATTTACAGATCAAAAGCTCAAGTGCAATTCTCATCTTTACTGCAACCTCAGCAATGATTATGGTTTAATGTGCCGTAGTCCTCAAATAATCTTATTTTAAAAACCTAAGACAAGTGGTAAAAGAAATATTGAAATATTAAGATTTTCTGTCTTTTGATGAAGATAAAACAAAGGCTAGATGATACAATTTTCTGATATCAATAATGGTTCAGTTATTTCTAATCACCTGAATTTGTTAATATCTGTTGAACAGGAGTCACACCAGCAGGGAGTGCCAAGGTAGCAGCTGTGGCAGCAGCACTCTGAAAAAATGAAAAAAAAAAAAATCAAACTCATGTATATGTGTAACAGAACCTCATTTATTTCTGGCATATTTTAACAGTATTTGGAGTTTATCATTTAGTTTACACTAAAACGAAAAGTCTTAACAATAAGACTAAATCCCGTTTTATGAAATGGTACAATAAAGACTACCTAGCCTAAACATCTTACCTAATTATTTCAAGCAATTAAGTAGAATCAAAAAAACTGAGAGGATTTTTCTCCCCTAGAGAATGTACTCTAAGGAAATCTCACCCACAATAACAATGCTGTACAATATATGAAATACCCATTCCATTATGTCATCTCTTATTGTTTCCTTACTCTGAATTCCTTGTTGTCAATTAATATACTTGTGGCAAAGTATAAGCATCTTCATTTTAGTAACCTTAATATTTTTAATTATAGTATAATCAACAGGTCTCTAAAGAAAACCCTGTATCAGAAGACTGCACTTAAAGTATAACTGGCAATTCTTCTAAGATGCCATAAGTTGACAATACTGGCATGATCTCTAGGTAAAACATATTAATACTCATTTTATTAGTACAAAAAATACCTTTAAATTTTCCTGTATTTCTTAAGATTTTATTTCTACATTTTAAAGTGGAGTTAATACCAGAATCTGACACTTAAATTATAAAAATATACATGGAATTATACTCTGGATTTCTTTAAACTCAGGATAAATTCTTGATTTACTGCTTCTGAAGACTTCTTTCCTTTCCTCCAAAAGAATTACACTACAATTTTACAAGCATTTCTTATCCTGAACCCCAAGTATTTCCATGTATCTCACTACTAACTATATGTAGGTAGTTTTTTCCCCTATCCCCCTTAAATCTTTTTTAAGATACCAAGCCTTCATATATTCAATCCAACCTATACATTTTTATAAACACCTCTATTCGAATAAACTTTGAGAAACAAATATAATGTGTTTTGCAGATGGTAATGCCAGAGAAGTCAACAAAACTTAAAGTCAAATGGGTTAATGATACAACAACTACCAAGGTATAGCTTTCCAAGAAAATATAGCTGTTGTTGCCATTTGACAGGCCTGAGTAATCTCCAAATCTGAAGCCTGAAATTCCCACTACGTCCTCAGAATCTAGCTATAGCCCACGAGGTTCTCTTTATAAATGCAAGTTCTGCATTTTGTTTGTTTAAAAAAAAAAATGAAAGATCTACATAAATCTTGTCCATAGAGGCAAATGAAAGGTAATCTAAGTTTAAGGAACATATTAACAACCACTTACTATTTAGGAATACTGAGTGCCTATAATTCATATTTTATAAGATTAAAAGATTTCCCTCTACTGGCAAACTGACACGGCAGTTTCTATATATAGCACACATGACACAATAACCACCTACATAATTCTGCACATTCAAGATGCCATAAATATTTGTTGAGAGATGCATCATACACAAACCATCTTTTATTAATGTCTGCTGGAAATGAATAGCCCCAACATGGATAATGCATTAGAGCAATAATTTCATAGAGAACCTGCAAAACTAGTTTGATGTAAGGTCCTATTTCGTAAGTTCCCTGAACCTTCTACCAATTATCACTATCCCATATTCATATGCAATCACATCATTTTTCAGTATGTTCATTCCCGAAGTACACAAAGCTATTAAAAAAAGCTGTTTTTAAACAAGTATCTTTGAATAAGGAATAATAATGCAAACAAACAAAAATCAAAAAAAACCTTTTATTTGTAAAGAGACTTATACTGTTTCAGAACATTGAAAAGACATGGAGACAACATTGACTGAATACAAGTAAAATGTAGAAGTACACGTAAACGCTCATACATTTTACTCACTGAGGTCTGATCTATGATCTATTTAAATACACATGCTCTTTAGAATCAAGGAGATGTAACAAATCAGTAAGAGACAGGCCATAAGCTTAGCTCCAATCTCTTTAAACATAATTTTAATTCAAAATTGTCTCCCACAACACTGAAAATTCTTCAAAACCCATCAAAAGATGGGTCTACTCTTAAGTGATTCTATCAAACTTCCTGTTTTAAAAACGACACAAGTTATTCCCTAGGAAACAATTTCAATAGTATCAGCTGCAATATGGATTCTACCGTAGACTTATTTTTAAGGGTGGACAGTAAAAAGAAACCTGGGGCCTGAGAACTGAAATGAATTTTTTCTGAATAATAAAAATTCTTGTGAGAAATGACAGGCATGGAAATTTGTCATTTTCATGCAGAAGAACTGATTCTAGCAACCTGAACTGGAAGTACAAATAGAAATCCTTGATTTTCTTTTTAACTGAAGGATAGTAGATTTACTTTGTTGTGTTAGTTTCTGGGGTACAGCATAGAGATTTAGACAGATAGACAGACAAACAGACGACACACACACACACACACACACACACACACACACACATTCTTTCTCATTATAGGTTATTACAAGATATTGAATGTAGTTCCCTGTGCTATACATTAGGATCTTGTTGTTTATCTACTTTATATATAGTAGCTCATATCTGCTAATCCCAAATTCCTAATTTATCCCTTCCACCTCTCCCCTTCGGTAACCATAAGTTTGTTTTCTATGAGTCTCTTTCTGTTTTGTAAATAGTTAATCTGTATCACTTTTTTAAGATTCCACATATAAGTGATATCATATGATATTTGTCTTTTCCTACCTGACTTATTTCACTAAGTATGATAATCTCTGGGTCCACCCATATTGCTGCAAATGGCATTATTTCATTCTTTTTTTATGGCTGAGTAGTATTCCTGTGTGTGTGTGTGTGTGTGTGTGTGTGTGTGTACACACCACAACTTCTTTATCCAATCATCTCTCAATGGACATTTAGGTTGCTTCCATGTCTTGGCTACTGCAAATAGTGCTACTATGAACAATGGGGTGCATGTATTTTTTCAAATTAGTTTTCTCCAGATACATGCCTAGAAATGGGATTGCTAGAAGAGATCCTTGATTTCTTATAAATCAAAAAATTTCAATTTCTACTTTTATATAGAAAAGTACAATTCTGTGACATTATAGATTTGTAAGGCTGGTATAAAAGAAGTCATTTGTCTAGTAGGTGAGCCCTGCTTCCTGTATGGCTTATAAATTACAAATGAGCTTTCAGATTCACAAAATCTAACTTTAAAAAAAAAAGTGGGTTTCTTTGTTAAAAAAATCTGGATGTATAAAACTCAACTGATTAAAATGCATTTTAAAGTGGCACTTTACATATTATAAGAAACAGTTATCTTGAACTTTCCAAACAGTTCATTTTCATCTTTAAAAAGTTTATAATTCTTAGCATTCCTAAACTCTTGCTGTTAATGGGTCTTCTGAAACAATTATATTTAGCATAATATCTTTGGTAGGTCCCCTAAACCTATTTTCCTCAAAAAAAGAAGATAAAATAACTCCCAAAGCACCATCCTTTTGGTATTTTCAATAGAAGTTTGCATAATTTTATGAACTGAAATGTCTAAATATTAAGCTAAACTTAAGATTTGCTGCTAAATCCAATATTTAGGAAACCAAATAAAACAGCTATTTTGCTCAAGTCTCATATAAACTTCAAGTTGTTAATATACAACATACATAAGCATAATCACAATCTGGGTTACAATAAACAGAACCAAGCAAAGCACTATTTTCTGAATCTTACCATGTTTGATGCATTCATATGTTGTATCAGCTTAGAATCAGGAACAATAACTTGTGGTGCTGCAGCTATAAAAAACCAAACAAGCATACATAAAAGCAAGGAACCATGAGGCTATTTCTTAGAATGCTATATGATGTTGAAAATTTTTTTCACGCTTTCCACACTTTCTTCATGCAAATGCACTCAACCATTTGATACTTCACAATGTTATAAATTTCTAAGGTAAGTAAGTGCTGTGATATACCCACCTTATACAGGAAAACCACAATTAAAAAAATAGATTTGAGTAGTAATACCTAAGGACACGAGAGAATGTGGGAACACAAAGTAATGAGATACCTAACACCTAAACATACATTTCTGTGAATTCTTAAACTAGAAATTTTCAAACATAATTTAAAATTGTCTTGCCAACTAAACATTAACTGTTTTACTGATTTAATGATAATATTGTTGGAATGAGTTATTAACTCATGAAGAGCTCAAAAAGTTATAATCTACACAGGTTTTTTTTAATATACCTAGCCCCGTTCTTCCAATTTAACAGTTGCCAGAATTTAAAGTTACTTCCATTAACTTTTTAAAAAATAAAAATCAGAAATAATGGCAATGTTACTCAAGTGTAATAGGAACTGTGTTTGATTCCGCAAATTTCAGAGAATAAACAGATAATCCCATTATCCTAACATTCTCTGAGTGAAGAAAATCAAATTTTAATTTATGATGACCTAAAATCCTAGTGCCAGGCCTTAAGGCAATAGGAAGAACAGCCATCAAAACAGATAAAAAGGATAAAATTATTAGATACAAGATGTAGAATAAAATCAAATACTAAAAGTTTTATTTGACATAAAAGTAAAATAACCCAAAGAGACATTTCTACTATGCATCACTATCAATTTTAAGTCTTACATATACTCTCAGGTGAAGCAAATGGGTACATAAACAGTTACCTTAAAATAAGCTTTCATTTACTTTCATTTTCCTCTGATAACAAAATGTACAAAACTCTAATGTCCAGGAAGTTTTGTAACTGAAAAGATGTTTGTTATGACAGAAAATACTGCATGCAAAGGATCAAGCCTTTTCAGGACCCAGATTTTCCTCAGCTGTGATGTTTTAAGTGCTACTTCACAGAGCCTCTTATTAGGCTTCAGTGAAAGAAAACCTATAAAATGACTTGCACAGTACAAAATACTATGGACACAGTCTATAAATACTTGTTTTTTCCTTATCTTTGAAGCACACAATATAAATTAAGATGTTATAGATCCACTCTTCCCTTAAACAAAATCTAAAAGTCAATTTAGACTTAACATAAACTACTAGGGAATTAAAATTTCAAATTGCCCAAACATGGTTACAAAAATTCTCCGATGTTTAAGATATATTTATAAAAGCTAAATTCAAACATAATCTTTGAAGGGATAAATCACATCCATAAAGAAAGTAGATAATGACTCTACCATTTAAAATAATGACATCTTTAGTAAATAAATCTTTACAGATATAACCTGTTTTAGGAAATCCACCATTAGGTAGCTGTCTCAAAAGAAAGTGTTAATATACTTAACTGAGTATCATTTTAGGCTTTCTCTTAGTGAATTATTTATCATTACTACACAAACAGAATCCTCATTTTATACAAATTTACACATAAATACACACATATACACCATTCACCCCCTCCTCAACCAATAGAAAGGAGAAATTCATTTTCTCTTCTTTGAGAAGGACAACTTTCATGTCCAAGTTCTAAGCAGGACAACACACGCAGTCTCACCTTGCTGTGACGCGGGAATGAGGACCTGCTGGGCCTGCGCCTGCGGGGGCACCGTCTGCTGCGGCTGAGCCTGCTGGTGCTGGTGGTGGTGGTGCTGCTGCTGCTGAGGCTGATGCTGCTGCTGGACTTGCAATAAAAGCTGCTGCTCTTCTGAGTGAAATCCATCCACTGCCCTAGACTGCATGAGTTTATTCTCCCATAACTAAGGCAAAGAACATTAAAGATTTCTAAGTGAAGGTCAGGGAAGATAATGCTGGACATAAGGACAAAACATACTTTATTAGTCTGTTTATAAAATTCTTCCATTCTCAAAATACAACCAAAAATCTACCAATCTCTCTTATCCAACTGTATGCATAATGAACACTAAGTTTTAAAGTATCAAACCTCATTTTTGCTACCTGAGAGTATTGAATAATTTTTTTGTTTTTATTTTTATTATCTTCAACAAACTTTCTATGGTATTCCTTGGTTACGAGGCAGAATTTCATATAAGCATTTTTTTCAGTAATCAAAAGTCATCATATCAAATCCATTATTAACTATTTTCATGGAAATCTTTAATATAGTATTTTCTAACTTTTAAATAACATATATAAAACAAGTTCATCTTTTCTTGATTTGCACAATGAAAAATATGTATAGAGGCAATCCTCAAGTTAGAATAACCCAACTTTGTCTAATGCTTTTCGAGGTATTCTCAACCCTTCATACTTTTTGAAATTCCCCTCCCCCTCCTATTATGAAAAGGATTGACAATCCCTTTTCTGTTCAACCACTTCTATTTTCTCATCTCACCCTAGGACAGCTTCTGTGATGAAGAGGAAAAAAAAGTCAAAAGTTGGCAAAAGAAAGAAGGAAAAGATAATATTTACAACTATTCCATCTTTCTCCCTAACACATTTCCTCTCTATCAGGTTTAGTGTTCAATCTACAGAAAATTGCCCAAAGTGTTCCTTAAACATTCAAATCCTTGTAAATATGCTTGTAAAACATTTATCAGAGTCTAGTATAAAGTCAGTTATCAGTAAGTGCTAGTTACTATAATTATGATGGTGGTGATACTGTGTAATAGAGCATTATACCAGAAATCAGGAACCCAGTTAGCCCTGGTTTGGCCTTTAATCAGCTTTATGGACAAGTCATTTATCTTTCTTGGGCATTTTCCTCATCTCAAAAGGGAATAAATTGAATTAGATTACTTTCATTTTTATTTTTTAATGGAGGTACTGGGGATTGGAGGTACTCTATCACTGAACTATTTCCCTCCCCCCTAGATTACTTCTAAACTCACTTCCAGCTAATAAGTCTAAGTCTCTGCATCAGTCTAAAAACAGTTAGGGTTCTCCCTAGGGTAACAAAGGACTACTCTTCAAGAGCCTAAGTTTTGTCTGGTTAATCTCTGTAAAGTGGGCACCTAGCATAGCACATAGTACAAAATAGGCTTATGCACTGAATAAAACATTCAGACTATTATATAGTGAAGCTCCCAAACAGTCTATCATCTGAATCTTCCACAATTCTTTCCCCTATTCTGAAACAAAAGAAAATCTAGTTCTTGTAAGCCAAAAATCAAAGGGAAAAAAATACTATTAATGCCTTAAGAAACAGTTTTTAGATCATAATTTTCTAAACTTAGTATTTCAGATTTATCATTTCCAATTGGTCTACCTGCTGCAATGTGACTCATCACTTCAACGAAGCTTCCATGATAATGACAAATATTAATGAATACCTATTATGTGCTAAGTGCTGGGTACCACAACTCACCTACCTAGCCTCCTAAGCCCATGATCTTTGAATCAGAATCCACCACAATACCCAATCAATGTTGTCAGTTTTCCCTCAGAAGAATTGTTCCAATCTATCCCTATTATTATTGCCCCTTTTAAGTCCTTTCTTCCCCGAGTACTATTGCAAAAGGTAACGACTGAGCTCACTGAACTTCCTACATTAAGTCACTCATTCTACAAATAATTAGAGTATCTCCTATACTAGACACTGTTAGTGGCATTCACAACTGGCAGTGAACATATCTGACAAAAACCTTTGTCCTAACTGAGCTTACATTTTAGTGGAAACTTGTCCTTCCAATCTATCCTCTATCAATCAGTAGTCCTCAAAATGTGGTCCTGCACCAACAGAACCAGCATCACCTGGGAACTTGTTAGACATACTAATTCTCAGCTCCCCCACCCCTACCCACTGGCCCCGACTCAGCAACTCTGGGGAATCTGTTTTAATAACCTGTCCAGGTTACTCTGATGCACACTAAAGTGACAACTGATGCTTTAAAGTCTAAGCCACTGTGTTTCAAACTGCAGAATGTAACCCATTAGTGGGTTCAAGCAATTTGGTTTTGTTTTTTTGTGTGTTTTTTTTGGTAAATGCAATCAAGTTAAAAAAAAAAAAAAAGTCAGACTGTACCCTTATCAAGTGAGGCTTTCGGGAGCCGAAGCCTAAAAAATCTGCATTTTTAACTAGTACCTCAGAGAATCCTTCTCACGCTAAAGACCAAGCTCATTAACATAGTAAGTTAACTCTTGGCTACTATAACTTGCACTCTGTTTTCCAAACTACTTGTAGTTCCCTGAATATAGTATACATATCTCCTGTCTGAATCTTAGTAAAATACTTACGATTGGAAGTCATCACATACAATTCCCCAAACAATGCAAATGCAAAGTCACACAGCCTCAAATAAATCGCTCATTGGCTCTATACCTTAGGAACATTTCTATTGGTACACTTTTCACTCTAAGTCTACCTTCTCTACTAAAGTATGAACTCCTTCAGGTCAGAGACTATGTCTTATTCAGGAACTAACAAAATCACTAAGAACTTACCAAATATTAAACATTAATTTCAAAGAAGAGAATGGAAAACAAACTACTGTTTTCTAGGGTAGTGTTTCTCTATAAGGATGCTACTGACATTTTAAGCAAGACAACTCTTTATTTACAGGGTATTACTACAGAAGTGTAGAGGAAATGCAATATTCCTGGCTCTAGCCTACTAAATACCAAAAATGCCCACTAGTCATTATGATGAGCAAACATGACCCCCCCACACCTCTAGCAGCTTTTCAGGGGAGTAGGAGAAGGGGTTGTTGGAGTAGCAGTCCACTGATACTCCATATTTACAAAGCAACAAATACTGTTCCAGGGTAATGTGAAAAATACAATATTACCATACAAATATTTAGCATTAAGCTTATATTATCAAATAATGTAAAGTTCAAATTAGTTGCATATTTTGTTTCTCTCCAATTTCATTTTTATGTAATTTTATTTATCAAAATATTCTTTTTAAAATATCAGTTTAAAATAAACAAAGAATGTAATACTGTTTTGGAAACAATAATCATTTAATACTCCTGAAGACTACCAAGAATACTGAATTGTGATTTACTTATTTATTTTGCTTCAAAAACAGGGAGAACTCTTTTTCTCCTCATTTTTATAGTAGTATTCTTTTCCCCCCAACACAGTAGCTATTATTTCTGGCAGTCTTACTTCAGCAATCTTTGGCAGGTCTCTGAAATTACACATGGAGAAAATTCATTTTCTGTTCCCAAAATGAATCAGATCTACATCTGTACATCACGTTTACTAGACTAATACTCGATTCTTACCATGCACTTGTTAAGTACTTTACATGTACAGATTCATTTTTCACAAACATTCTTTAATACTATTATTTCATTTTCACAGACATTATCATCATCTCCTTTTTACTGAAAAAGAACCTGAGGAAGAAGTCAGGTATCTTATCCAAGATCACCAACTAATAGCTGGCAAAACCAAGATACAATCCAGGCAACCTGACTCCAGAGTTCCCAGTTAGAGATGAACCCTGAGAGTGTAGAGTGAATGTCTTTTAAATTTTGGACCCTAGGCACCTCACTTGCCACACCCCAATTCCTCACTCTGGTCCAGTTTCTAATCTCTAAATTATACTGCTACTAACAGAGCAGGTCTAGTCACAACTCTGGTACCTTACTTACCTGGAGACAAAAGTTCAAGTCTCTGCTACTTGCTAAGTGACCTTGTCAAAGCATATTCCCTGAGTCTCTTTTGATCTATAAAATGTGATTAGGTCTGCTGCTTCCTGGCACTATGCTGGGCTAGAAATTCTGAAGGATTCTACCTTCACAAAGCATCTAGCTCCTAGATAAAATGTAAGACAACTGCATTTCTGGACTTCCTAGAAATGACGTTGAGGGACAGAGGTTTCCCCAAGGGCAAATGAAGTGGAATAATGCATCACTGTTCAACTTATGATCCAAGTATTTATATACAACTAGAGCATATTTAGAATAGTGGTTCTCATTCAGGGGTGGGTTTGCCCCCCAGGGACATCTGGCAATGTCTGGACACATTCCTGGCTGTCAGAACTGAGGGGTGCTACTGGCATCTAGTGGGCAGAGGTCAGTCATGCAGCTAACATTCTACAATGAACAGGACAGCCTTCTACAACAAAGAACGGGTCCAAAATGTCACAGTGCCAAGGCTGAGAAACCTGATCTTGAGACAAATTAACCGAGTTTAAGATTTGCCTCCAATTGAGAAAATTTTTGTAACTTTATTTTACTAAAAAAAAAGAGGCCATGTTTTGTATCTCCCATTGTACTCACTATTTGGATACAGGTAGGTTTGACGGTCTAGAAATCAGGATGATTTTATCATTCACTTTGAAAAGGATTTCTAGGCTGTCATTCCCACCTATAGCTATTTACCTATCCAAAACACAATTCACATTCAAATACAGATTATTGAAACTCAAGTGGTAACGTGTATGAATACTAAATCATTAACCTGGAACTAACACAGTGTTGTAGGTCAATTATACAAAGAAAGAAAGGAAGAAAGTGAGAGAGAAGGAAGGAAAGAAGAGAAAGAGAAGGAGGGAAGGAGGGAAGGAAGGAAGGAAGGAAGTCAAGACTATTTTATGTGTCTTTTCTATCCCCAACAATTCATATAGTAAAGGAGGCCCACAGTATAAAGAGAGAATTTTGAGAATCAGGTTTAATTTTCTGAAATCACCTTCCTTCCAGCGTTATCTAGGTAAATTTTAAATTATAGGCACTCTTATTACTCATCTTAATGGATAATCTAACTCACCACTGTATCCTTCACAGCTGTATGGAGGTTTTCAGTAAGTTTGTAAAAGAGCCAAAAAGAGAGGAGATAGGGGCTAAAGCTAATAACAAAGTCCTTTAAAAACCACAAACTATGAAATTAATGTTAGTTTTCATTACAAGACTATCTAAACCTGTAGGGTCCAATAAAGTAGCCACTAGCCACACATGGTGATTTAAACTGAAATTAACTGTAATAAAAATTCAGTTCTTCAGTTTCACTAACCGCACGTCAAATGTTTACTAGCAACATGTAGCTAGGGGCTACCATACTGGAGGACACAGATATAGAACATTTTCGTCACCACAGGAAGTTCTGTTGGATAGTGCTGACTGTCGAACTGTTAAAACTAGGGCACATTCTGGAAATTCTAATGAGATCCTGAAGAAATTTAGTGCAGAGAATTAAAATAACATAAACTCATTTCAATCTAATAGTTTTAAATTTAAATCCAGCTACAACTCAGAATAGAAGAGTATGCCCCATTTTTAAAAAACAACAAAAACCTTAAACTACTTTGTTCAGTTAAATTCTGGAGCCACATCTGTTGTTAACCAGTTTATTTACTGAATGCCAATTACATATGCCAGGCATTAGTGTAGAGGCTGAGGATTCTAAGCTGAGTTAAGTCACAATTTCTGTCATTTAAAACCAACCATTACGCAAAAACTAGTGTGTAACCTATAAAACATATATTATTTACATATCCTATTATACAAATTTTTATACGTATATTTCTTCTAAAAAAGTCATATGTAATAAAAATGCAGGTAGAGCTATTTGGTCTCAAAAACAATTCATTCTCTTTAGAGAGAATATCTCAACTCTGTTGGGACCAGCAGGAAAGATCAACTCCAGATTCTGAAAAGCAAAAGCAGGTAAGGTAACAAACAACTTGGACTGACCACTAGTTTGACCTAGAGTAAAGTCTTTGGGACTGATTTTCTACACCGAAAAATGTTGTCCCTTGTACATAAGGTCATAGAACTACAAGGACAACCATTATAAAAGGGTAACAAATTGTAAAATACTCATTCCACATAATACTAAGGAATCAAAATAAACTTACTCTCTTATTACTCGTATCTCTGGAGGGGATACTTTATGTGTCTGAGTAGTTTATATTGCTGTTTTTCCAACTCATGTCTCAGAGTTGGCATTCCTTCATTTGTATTTTTAGATACCTAATCTTCACTTTCAGTAATGATTACATTTCTCTCAAGGTAGATAAGTACTTTCTCATCTCATTCTCATGAACTATGATTCCTTATTTGTATATACCTCGAAAGAAGCTCAATATTCAATTTCTAAGCCAGCAGTTTTAAAACTGTTCTCAGGATCCTTTATCACTTTCACAAATTAATAAGGACCTCAAAGAGCTTTTATGAAATTATAACTAAGATTTTTTTAAAAATGTTTACTAATTATTTAAAAATAACAACATATCCTTTACACGTTAACATAAAGAACATGTTTTTAATGAAAATAACCATATTTTCTAAATAAAATCTAATGAGAAACGGCTTAAAGGAAAACAGCTGGATTTTTATATCTGCTTCTGCTGTTCACTTTGTTGTTTTGGTTGAAGCATATGAAGAAAATCTGCCTTCCCACAGCCAAGTAGTTGGGAAAGGAAAAGGTATTTTATGTGATAGTTTCTTAAAAGTTAGCTGCAGTGTACAATCTGAAACCATATACCAGTGAACTTTCATACTCTTCGATTAAAATCCATTGATTTATCTTTCACTCTGAAGGCATTTTGCAACATCATGCATTCATCATTTGGAGAATATGAGTTCAGTGAATTATGCAGATACTCCAAATGTTAACACATTTCATTACAGAATATCAAACAATCACAGGTCTTAATATCAACACCGATCTCATCTCAAACTTTAAGTAAAACATCTTTTTAATATTCAGTGCATCAAAATGGGAAGCATGCATAAGGCACTTCTGCTGCATATGAGCAGTTAATCTCAAGGAAAAACACTTGTGCGTTTAACTGGTCATTTTTTCCATAGAACACACATTCACTGGAAATACGACAGACATGCTATGATTATTCAGACTCAAGCCCAACCTCATGGACCACCTGGAAGAGCCTATGGGGAACTTCAGGGACCATACATTGAAAATCACTGTTCTGAGCAATAAAGCAAAAATATTTCGTGATTCTCTGAGTCATTACAACACTAGGAAAACACAAATGCTTAATAAAAGTATCTTAAATCTAAGTAACCTAAGTACGCTTAAATCTAAGTAAATCTAAGAAAACAGAAAACCAGCTCCCAAAGTAAAATTTATTATATAAATTGGCCCACATAGAGAATTGGACCCCAGAACATGAAATTCTTTTATCAAGCACTTATTCAATCTCCACAACATAAACACACTTTAGCACATAGGTACATTACAGCATAAACACATTTTAAAACAGGTACATTAAGGTCACAAAAAAAGAAAAAGGAAAACAACTTACAGGTATGTAAAGTAGTTAGACCATAAATGGATGTTAACTATCCATTAATAATAGTTAATGCTACTGCCAGGTACTGGGCTAAGTAAGCACTTTATTTATTTATTACATTTACTCCTCAAAACAAACCTAAAAGGAAAGTACCATCAATTTCCATCTCACAAATAAGGAAACTGCAATGTAAGTATTTTGCCCAAGGTCAGAGGAAGAATGGATGGGAAGAGTTGGGATTTAAAACCAGCACACTTCACTTAACTATACTGCTTCCTGTAACAAAGTCAAATGTTCACCGTATACAAAAATTGTGGGTTAGTCTCTGGCTGAAGAAAATGTTTTAAAAAAAAAGGAGGGGCAGACTCACAGTTTTTAGTTCCATCAGAACTTGCTCATCGACTCCATCATCCAAAAAGATGTCTCTCACATCATTAATAACATCTTCAATCACAGATCTATACAATTTAGGCTTTAAAGGAAAAATAAAAGACGGTTGAAAAATGTGTAACAAGTTTTTACAAATTCAAAGCAAACTAAATGTAATACAATAGTCATTTTTCCAACTATCAAAAACCTATTTTAGAAGATACAACTTAAGAGATACGGCCATCCTAATAATCATGATTTGCTTTAGTTAACTTATTAGACTGCATGTTTTAACGGAAGTTTTAAACTATTTAATGCAATTCATATCCAGAAGATCCTTAAGCATACAAGGTCCACACAATTTCCAGTTATAATTTTTATGTTGTTATAGCCAAAACATTTAATGCGATCCAACAATATAGCTTTATGGGTTGCTATGTCTGGTTCCTATTATTCCTTTGCTTGGTTTTAATCTGTTATATCTTTTAACCTCACCACTCAGTTGTAGCCTTTAGAGAACCTTATGTCTTCCCTGGTAATAATCTGCAACTCAATGAGCATTCACATTTAAAAAATCACCTAATTTCTGTTTTTTGTTAGCCAGTCTGTACCTTTCACCCACACCATTACGTTGCTCATATACCCACAATTAACAGGTCTCAAACTCCCAGAGGAACAGGACACGATGATTCTTGCCCAGGACTTCTCTCCTACCACTGCCCAGATGATGCTATGGAGCAGAATCAAGAATAGCCTCGATATTTATTTTATTTTATTGTTGGCATTCCTTGGGGGGAAGGAGGAGAAGCTTGCTTTCAGAAGGCTGCCAGAAAAATGAGAATAGGTATGAAAGCACTTTCAAAGTATATAAAGTATTTCTGAAAAACCAGAATTCGCCCAACCCACATCCTACTTTTTAACATGTTACACAAAAGGAAGTTTGCATGTCAGAGTGTAAAACCAGAACTGCATTGTTATAAATCCTATCCATTATCACAGAGTTAACAGCCTTTTTCTTTTAATGCTGTGTCATTATTTGTGTTTTATATCTTGCTTAAGGTAAAAGTTACTGGTTACTCAATAAAACCAAGGGTTTGCTCTCATAAGCAAATCTCAAACAAAAATGAATGTTTCATTAGAACCTCTATGAGCAATACTGTTATCATAGGGAAACCCTCTAAGAAAGTGTGTCCTTGCTTAGCCAAAAATACAAATGAGTTCATCCCTACAATTTACTTCAACCATTAAAAACTCTTTATTTCTTTTCACTACAACCAGAAAAACAATTCATGTACCTAGGTTCTTGCCTTTGCTGTTTCAACCACTAACTTGCTTTTTTATTTTGCCAAATCTATCCCTGTGAACTAAAATTAATGTGTAAAATGTGCATCTCTACTGTGCCTCCTTAAACATTCTGATTCTATAAGGTTAAGTATCACCTTATCTATGGCGATTTAACTACTGAATTACAAAAATAATTTATAAAATGTTTTCTAAAATCAATGACTCTTCAAGGCATTATAAAGAGGTAATGTAAATTTAAACTGGCAGTATAAATCTTAAATTGGTGACGTAAGTTATTTTTTCAGCAGACTAGATGTTTCGATGTTTTTGAAGTCAGTGACCCCTAAAACTATTCTGCTTGGAGATCCAGACATTTGTAGGTATAATGTTGCTTTCTTCTGGCACTCCCTACTTAATGAATCAATCCTGCTTTAAGACTTTGCTTTTGTCCCTTAATAAACCCACAACTTGACCATTTAATAGGTTTACAAGCACTACAGTTGATGGAAAGGAAATGTGCATTTCCGTCCAAAATACTGTAAGTACACAGGCATTATTTGAAATAAGCAATCTCCAAATCATTATTTAAAAACCCAAACCTTTCTTGATGCAAAGTTTTTGCCTTTTATGAAATACATAGTAATTTAGGAGGTTTGCCCTGGTTTTCAGAAACCAGATACTCTAATGATTAATTAAAGGGTTTCTTTCCAAAGTCTTAGTCCCTGGTGCAAAACTGGAAAATACATTGGATTAATGTCTATATCGGATATCATATTAATATCCAATGCAATAGAAACGCCATCTACTTAGAATTTTAATTTTTTAAAACCCAGTTTGCACTAAGCCTTCTCACATTACTCACAATTCTCCTACCACATAAATGTACTGCAGACATAAGATCCTACATGTCAAAGCTTTAGGTACTTAACTATTTCTTTGTAAAGCTCTGGGTCTCCGACATTTATTACAGCAAAACTTAATGAAGTATTAGGAGCTACATTTTTAATCTATTACCTGAATAGTTGAAGAACAAAACCCTACCAAAGTCAAGTCCCCTACAGCTAACAGTTAATGTACAAAGCCTTTTTTTAAATTCCCGACAATAATGCACGCATCTTCTAATACGAGAACGATTAGACATCTGAGCTAAAATTCTTTTAAAAATAAAAATAAAATTAAAAATGACAGCAATTCTGTTTTCCCCTAACGAAGACGGCAAATCCCAGCCGCTTCATCAAAACAAAAACTTGAGGCTCTGAAAGCAGCCCCAGATGGGTACGAAATTACAGTGTACGTAAGGGACCTAGAAATAAATTGAGCTCTGCACGCGCCAGCCTCTCGCCTCGGGAGCACGCACCTCCCAGCCCCGCTCTCAGCAGCTCTCACTATTTAAAGCCGGATCTGGTGTTTAAATGGAGTGGCGGTGACGTAGGCCTGAAAAGCACCTTCCCATCCTGGCAGAGTCTATATTAGAGAGCGGCAATGGCTCTATATAAACAGGGCAGCCAAAGGGAGGAGGACCACAAGGCTCAGGGACTGAAAAGCAGGGTAAGCGGCCGCAGCCATGATGGATCGACCCGAGTCGTCAACGGTACGGAGTCGGGCGGCCTCGGGCTGCATTTGGGACCGGGCAAAAACGTGTTTTATTGTCATAATAAAAATAAGAGTGGGGTGGACTAGTGATCACATTGCGTTGGGGACTGAAAAGGTTATTTATGTGACTGCTTTTTGCAAACCTACATGATCGCAAGTAACCAAAAAGGGACAAACGGTGAGAAGTAGGCAAATTTCAAGGCGAAAGCGGGGCACTTTGACCACTGTAGCCTTTGTTTGTTTTGGTGCTTTTGCTAGTCGAAGATACGATGGGGGGTTTGCTTCCCCTTCGCCATTTTACCGATTCGGAAGGAGCCGAGATAAGTGCTTTTCAACCTTCGTCCTTTTTTTTTTTTAAATGTAAAATGGCCCCAGTGAACGCTCCCTAAGCACAGCCGCCAGAACACCCCCAAGTAACCCCAAAGTAGACATTAACCTTCCACTGCATTAAAGTGGATCGCGGTGGGTCTTGGGGATTCGCCTAACTCCCCAGACACGGTTTTTGTTTTGAGGCTGTTCCGGGAGCCCTTCTCGAGCCAGCGAGGTCGGGCCCGCTTCGGGGAGAAGCGGCGGCTCCCCTCCCGCCCTCCCTCCTGGCTGCCGGGGTCTGGGGCCCGGGCCGCGCGCTCGC